ACAAGGAGAACTCTGAGGTGGATGAATGGCAATATGTCTTTTACTTTCATCATTTTTTAATTTAAACCTTCACCGTATTTTTTGGTTTTTTTTTATTCTTTTTTTTTTTTTTTTTTTTTCAGTTTAAAATACTTCCCAGCTTAAAATTATGGTGACCCTTCAAGATTTTATTTTTGTTACTCTCCTCTCTCCACCCTCAAAGGCAGAGCACACTGTAAAAGTGAGAACCACATATAGTTCCATCTTGCCCTCACATACAAAGTGAGTTCAAGGCCAGCCTGAATGGTATAGGGAAGCCCTGTCTCAAAAAGACAACAAAACAGAAGAACCCAAGGTGCACAGGCCCCTTAAAGGAAGCTTGTTGTGGGTTGGTTTGCTCCATGACTTTCCTCTCTCCAGCGTCCTCAGTGATGAGGAACCCTTGAGCTACGAAGTGAGGGTCTCTGAGGGGTGATCGACAGACAGATCTGTATCAGGCCAAATTACTCAAGGGCTGGCTTGAATTTCTCAATTTAATGAGTATATTTGTGTGTACTTGTATATATAGTTAGGTATTTACGTACATGTATGTTAAGCTATGGAAATCAGTATTATTTATGTGAGTGTAATATGCTGTGTGTTGTTGTTGTTTTTTAAGGTATCTGCGAATCTTTCAAAATGTAGACCTGTCTAGCAATTTTTACTTTAGGTAAGTTTGAGCTGTTTTGTTCCTATTAGTCACGTAAACTTCTTCATTATTTTCCAGGGGCTAAAAACACAAGGAGAGCACACTGTAGTGCTACTTGTATTTTAATAGAAATAATTCTGTTTTTAAACAACACAGGAATTTTCCTGTTAGCACCCAGCCAGAGTAAAGCAGTTCTTTTAAATAGGAAGAATTGATTGTTAGAAGTCAGAAACCAACTTCTTAACACAGCTTTTACCCATTTGAGATTAATACTGCTAAAATGAATGGGTCTATCAAGTGAGTGTGGTAAAGTTGAATTTCACAGATGACACTAAAATCCATTTGAATCAAGTTATATGAATAAATTAAAGAAATACTCATCAATATGTGTGACTCTCCAGACAGAAATGTAACCATCTTCAGATATTACTAAAATACGAACCTATATAAACCTAAAGTATTGAAGATACCTTCTGAAAGTCTGTACTAAAAATATATAGCTAGTGATACTATAAAAATTATGAATTATGTGAAATAAAAATTGTAACAAGTTTCTTTTGGCCTAAAGGTTAAATTTTATTTACACAGAAAGTGATAATTTTTATGTTTTTTATTCTCCTAAAACATGTTTTGCTGTAATAGTTTGTTTTTTGCTTATCCTTGTTTATTATGAAGTTGGCTATGATACCACCATTAATAATTAGTGGAATTATTCTTACACATGTATAAATTGGGCACAGAGCCATGTACTATTACAGTGGATGTTGTATCTATAGAACCTTGTGTGTTTGACCCTTTTGCACAAGACCGTGCACTTTGATTGATTTCAGTGTGAAGCAAAAATGCACATTGTACAAGTCAGCAGATATATAGTATTCACATTGTATTGTATGTTTTTTGTCATGCAAATTCCTAATTCATGCAGTTAGTTTTTATTTTCAGTCATGTTCATGTTTTGCTGTGTTTTATAGCACTTATTTGAACGACATTGTTTCCAAGGGAAGTTACAGGTGCTAATTTAGCTCACAGATTTATTTCCATATGGGAGCTAAAACCATAAAATTTGCTTTGCCTTTATGATTCTGAAATATGAATTCTCTTCTCAGCTACAGTTATGATTTGTCCCACTCACTTCAGTATAATCTTACTGTCTTGCGAATGCCCCTGGAGATGTTAAAATCGGAAACGACCCAGACTCGCCAGGAGAGCTTTGACATCTTTGAAGATGAAGGATTAATCACACAGGGTAAAAGTGGTAAGTGGTTTCAGCAGACTTAACTTGTGGTAATGCAGCATCTGCAAATGGCATCTAATTAAATTCACTCCCATTTCTCCTTTCCTGGGGCTGTTCATCCTTACACGGCGCTGTTTCGCATACATGGACTTGGCTGTGTGGTTTCATTTGTAGGCCAGCTAGAGAGTTGCTGACCTGGGATGGGTGCAGCGTTTTGATACATGGCCTCACTGTGTAGTTCAAGTTGGCCTTGAACTCTCTGTGTATGTAGCCCAGGCTGGTTTCAGACTCATGGAGAACCTCCTGCCTCAGTCTCCTGGGTGCACTCTGCCCCTGGCTCTTGCTGGCATCTTTTAGCTATTAATTGTGAACTTTTTATGGATATATTCAGGTCTAGGCTTTTGATGAAATTTAAGTGCAGAACTTTTTTGAATATTGGAGGATATACACCATCTTATTTTCCTTTCTACGTAACAGTCATTGATGGAGTTTTGGGAAAAAGTTATCAGGGGTTGCCTGTTATGTGTTAGACATTCACATATAATATTTCTAAGCCTCCTAAAAACTGCTCAGTAAGTATCATGCCAGTTTTATAGAAATAAAGACTAAGTAAAAAACTGAGGCCCAGAGATGAAGATCATGGCCAATGTTCAGAAAAATCGGTAAAGCAGGCCAGAGGCTGTGACTAGTTTATTCCCAATTGAACCCATCGGTCCCTCATTAAATCTGCTTCTTTTTGGGACCATTGGATGGCTGTAGGACCACTGCCTGGCTGGTCTAGGTGACCCTGGAAATGCTGGCCTAACCCAGACACCTTTATCCCTCTTTATCCATACCCTTACTGCAAGGTTCTTGGGTTTGTCTAGGACTGTAAAGCTGGAGGCGGTGCTGATGTGAATGTTGTGCAGGAGTAGTTTCAGAGTTAGGTACTTAGCAGAATGGGACCAGCTGTGGACACATACTGAGGCAACAGTGCCTCTGCACCCCTTTGCTCCATGCAATGTAAATGATGGTGAGAAAGATCTGGCTGTAGCGGCAGAATTCAACCTAGAATGGACGTAGAAGGCCTGTCTTCATAGGAGACTCGGAAAAGAAACTGTGATCTACTAGTGTTTTCCCAAAGGTTCTGGCCCACTCATAGAACTCAGTATGATCTTGGCATTGCCCTTGACTGATTAATAGTTTACTGATTATCACTTGAGCAAGGGCCAAGCCCAGGACTCCCTCATCACCCTCAGATCACCTAGACACCTGCATTATAAACCACATCACTAGAGATAGACAGAGGGCAAGACAGCTAACGTGTCTGACTATTTGCTTGTGATGATTTGCTGAGTGACACTTTCAGCGATACAGTATTACATTCATACGCCTCCCTACCGGGCGGCTCTGAACCACTTGGGGTACATGTATGACTGTCCCATTGGGCGGCACGGGATAGTCAGGCATGTACCACCAGTGGTTCCAGCTAGCAGGAATTGGTTAGAAACAGCCTACATTTATTACCATACAAAAGGCAGAACTCCATACTGGGTCACAGGAGCTGTCGGGTGTCGGCAGAGTGCGCTCTTCTCCAGGGGCTCTAGACGATCCCTTTTCTTGCCCTTTCTGTCTGTCGGGGGCTGCCCTCATTCCCTGGCCTGTGACTCCCTCCAGTCCAGCTTCATAGCCAGCAGGCTCCAGCAGAGTTGCTTTTCCACAGTACCTCACTCTAACATTGATGCTCCTATTTTCTTGTTTCACTTATATAAACCCTGTGATGTAGAGGGCCCATGTGAGTAGTACAGAATAATCACCATGGCTCAAGCTCATCTGATTAGCAGCCTAATCCAACTGCATTTGTATTCCTGTTTGCCATGCAGTATAACATTCTCACAGGGTTAGGGTTAGGGTTAGCTGATTAGGGTCCTGGCATCTTTGCTATGGTTGGGGATCATTCTGTACTGCAATTCAGCACAGCTCTGGATGTTTTTTGGGAAAAACAGCGAGAGGATGAAGAAATACATCTAAGAGAGGAAAGCTGAGGTCAGGTGGGGCCCCCTCCCCAGATGGGAGGAGAGGAGCGGCCTAAGACGCAGCACAGTGTACTTACGCACTCAGGAGGCTGATGCCAGTTTCAGCCTCTCTGCCTACCAACGGGTTTGCAAGGCTGGAACAGCTTATTTACATGGCTCGGGTGCTCTCCCTGTTCTCCGGCTGGCTTTGTCTTAGCCCTGCAGGAGTGATTGATTTCCAGCTTCAGCTGCTCCCTACAATTCTGCCATACAGGGGAAACAGGAAATAAAGAAAGTTGGGGAGTAGGTTAAGAAAAAAAGAAAAGAATAGGTATTGTTAGTATATATATATGTTTGGGTATATATCTATATCTATATCTATATATATCTGCTGTGTATCAGGCAATGTATTAGGACTTTGCATAAACTCTGTAATTTGAGCATCTTAGGGTAACAGTGTCATCATTTTATACTTTAGAAAATGGAGATATTAAGTAACTTGCCCAAGATGGCAGAGCCAGCATCTGTGTCATTCCTTTTCTTGTGTGGTGCATTGAAAGGTAGGGAAAGTTTAGTTTCTGTAAATCAAAATGCGGGTATTTATCATATAAATCCTCTTAACAGATCATGTTTTGGGGAAAAATGATATTGATTGACTGCTGTCCACACCTGTTATAATCTTTTAAACTTAGGCATGGATTTATTTTCTATTTCTATGCATATAAGTGTTGTGAAACATTGCTGTTTAGTAAAGATGTTTGGGTATGCTGAAACCACGTTTGGTGAAGTTAACTTGTTTGTATAAAAAAGGCCTGACGTAGTAAGAAGTACTACTTAGGGAAGTGTGAGTACTGCACCAGGCTAGATCGAAGCATGTGGTGTGCATGACTAATTCATATCACTCTCACAACAAGCACGTGGCGTAGGGGCAGAGGAGAAAATGGAAGCTCCAGGAAGGTAGCGCTTGAAATCCAGCTGGTCACACTGTCAGAAGGAGGCCGAGCCTGCTGAGACGCTCGCAGTCCACGCCCGGTGTTCGGCTGCTGCTGTCTGCCTTCTCTCCGCTTCACTCGCGTATTCTTACGTCTCCTTAGTTTCTCTCTCATTTGCTTGTAAAGAAAAAGTCACAAATCAGAAAACGTCTTTCTTCTTTGGCTGCGTGTGGAACAATGCTCTGGAGGCAGAAAGGAGTGGTACCCACTGAAGGTGGCAATGCTGCCAATCAGGCATCTTATTTTACAGTTAGAAACAATTTTCTTGTCTCTGATACTTTTATTTTTCAGGTGTTTTTGGGGTCTGCAGTGAACCGTATATGAAGTATGTGTGGAATGGCCAACTTCTGGATACAGTTAAAAACACTGTGCATCGTGACTGGTTGTTGTACATTATTCATGGGTTCTGTGGACAGTCGAGTATCCTTTTTGTAAAAGCCCAAGGTACTTACTATCCAACTGGACGCTGTACCAGTTTGTAGAAAAATACATATAGAGTTATCACTCTGTACACCCCAGCGGGAAAACTTAGCCATGATGCCATGTAGTGCAAGTACAAAGAAGAAGCAGACTGAGCGGAGCCGTTATGCATACAGAAAAATCAGCAAATAACAGGGAAGGAAATGCTTGTGTGTGGTGAGGGACACAGGTCGTCACGACCACGCCTGTCTAGGGGCAGGAGCAGAGTCCTTGGTGAGGGCAGAGGATGAGACGGGCCCATGAAAACACCTTAAGCTGAGACCTACATGGGAGTCAGGCCGCACCAGTGCGAGTGGGGTTGGAGTGAGGAGGGAGAGACCGAGCCTGTGGTTAGGGGAAGCACCGTGCAGGTGGAAGTGGAAAAACTCACTGCTCATGTATAAGCCCCAGGAAGGTAGGGGTCGTGGGAAGGAGATTGCTGGTCACCGGCATGCCATGGTAGTTAGGCCAAGGACTTTGGGTTTTGTGCTGGAACTTTTGAAAGGTTTTGTTTAGGAGGGTGAGGTGTACAAAGGAGTGTTTAGAAAGCTGGAGTTGACAGTCATTTTCAAGATTTAAGTAAAAATGAGACTAGAACAAGAGACAACAAGTTAGAAAAAGCCTGTTCAGGCATAATGCAGCAAGGGCCTAGATTGGAAGGGGCTCAGTCACTCTCCTTTTTGCCAAGACACAATACTGACAACCGCAAGTTAAAGGAGGAGAGGTTTACTTTGGTTCACAGTTCGTAGAGGTTTCAGTCCGTAGTCCACTGACTCCAAGACAAGCAGCATGGCAGAGAGATGGCAGAGGAAAAGGTGCTCATGTCCTGGTAGCCAGGAAGCAGCTGATGAAAGCACACACCAGGAGGAGAGAGAGCCTTGCGGGTCACACCGCTGCAGATCAGCTCTGATGCGCCATGACCCAGTCACCTCCCAGAAGCCGCAACTTGGAGTGCATGAGACTCTGGGGGGACATCTGCATGTAAACCATGACAGCATAACAGATTAGCAGGAGGTTGGACCTAGAGTTCCATTTGTTTTTTTTTTTTCCGGTACCAGGAACCGAACTCACGACCTTGCGCTTGCCAGGCAGGCGCCTTTGCCACTGAGCTAAATCCCCAGCCCCTAGAGTTCCATTTGATGAAAACTTTTTCTTCTATCGTTTTCATCTTTCATTTAATTTCTAGCTAGTGTTGAAGCCTTTCAAGAAAGTCCAAACGCTATCTAGATACGGGTTTAGGTTTTTGTCGCTTTTTGAGATTGTGAAGGGAACTTATCCACCGGGCGTCTCATTTGGCATTCTTCCTTATGTCTTCGGTGTGAGACAGTAGGAGGAACCTTTAAAGGAGTGATTGCTTTGAGACCACGAAGTGGGTCAATATGGTTGCGATGTGCCTTACACGAGAGCACGTTCAGGAGGAGTGGAACCTACGTGTGCAGCTGGAGAGGTGGCCTAGCAGAGGGGGAGGAGAGGCCAGATGCACAGACGGGACTTTGAAATGATGAGTGAGGCTGAGGGGAAGTCAGGTCCAGGCAAGCGTAAGGTTTAGTGTCACTGTGACGGGGCTGGTCTGCCCTGTCCACACGTGGATAGTCCTTGGAACAGCATACGTGTGCAGCACTGCGCAGCTGGTCAGGTGGAGCTAAGTCAGATTACCTCTGGGTTGCAGCTGGGTAAGGCCGGCTAAGTCTGAAGCTGTGGTTTAAAAATTTTCCACTACAGCTTATGTTGATGTTCAGATTTTGAAGTGTTTTTGGATTTGAAATTTTTGGATTGTGGTTCAACCTTTAGCTACGTTTTAATTTATTTTTTTTACAGTAAGACTGCGTGCAGCAGGTAAATAGGGTGACATAACTAATAAATTGTGTGTTAAGTAAGCAGTTCACAGTAGTTCATTCTGTGTTCCAGTTGGGGGCCTCTTTTCGAGTATTGTATCTGTTCATTCAGTACGCTAGATTGCTTCATAATTTATTTATTTAATTCATTTTTTGAGTTTTTTTCCTGGTACCGGGAATCAAACTCACGACGTTACGCTTTCCAGGCAGGCGCTATGCCACTGAGCTAAATCCCCAGCCCCCGATTGCTTCATAATTTAAACATCTTGCTAAATGACACACGCTTTCTCAGAGAGCTATGACTCTGAAGACTAAGGAAGGAGTAACTGTACTTGTTTACTTCCTTTACCTGGCTGCAAGGAGCCCGTGTTCCCCTGCCAGTAACACTGCACTTGGGCCATAGGAACCACTGGAGTCTGTTTTTGCCGTCATACCTGCACACCCGTGAAGGACCGTTTCCCCAGCGCCGTCTGCCCTCAGGTGGTTTTGGTGACTTTATGCTGCTGGGCAAGATGTATTTAAGGGCATACTTGAGGCATAATGACTCTTGGTTTTGTGTGACAGTCACAGATGGTAAACAACTTAACTTGATTTCCAAGAGCTGTTGATCTATGGACGACCAGTGTATGTCACTCTCATAGCTAGAAGATCTAGCAGGTTTGCTGGAACCCGTTTTCTCAAGAGAGGCGCAAACTGTGAGGTAAGATGACAAACATCATGGCTGCTGACATTTTACTGTCACAACAGCTTTCGTGACAGATGAAGCAAAGTGGAACTTTAAAAAGTGGAATTTCTTAGTCTGGGATGTTATCCCAAGAATAATTAACTCTCCAGGGTAGGGGAAACGTGGGAGAAATATGACTAATACACAGACGTTCTAGAAGATCAGCTACCTTAGGAAGAATTACGCGATACAACTGTGAAATGTTTAGTGCTTTGGAGGATGAGACAGCTTGAAAGATAATGAATTGATGTAATGTGTAATGTAGAGATGAGAGCAGCAGAGCATCTCTGCACGGGAGTAAGTGGCAGGCAGCCCTCAGCTTTGAGACTTGGTTCGTGGTGAGAAGGCAGAGCAGAGCCAGGTCTGGGAAACGCTTTCCCCACTTGCCTTTTCCCCCAGACCTCTTCTGTTCACGCTCGGAAAAAAACAACAGAAATCCACCCTTCCTGCCGTCAGCCACAGCATCTGTGAGAAATGCTGTTTCTGCTTGTGCTAAACAGTTTGTGTCTTGAGCAGATGTGAGATTGAACAGACAGATTGAGTGAGGACTGGGTTTGACCCTGGCTTGAAATAGCAGCGTTGTACTTAGAATTGTTTCAGCACTGAGAGTTGTCCTGCTCCTTTAAGAAAAATCAGAATTCTGTAGCTATTTTATTTACTTTGGAATATTCAAAAGATACTCAGACGGTCTTTATTACATGCTTACATACAGGGATGAGTAAAGCTACTTCCAGGTCTTCTTCCCCTTTTCCCTTCTGCCAGTCAGGTACTGTTTGAATCTCACTCTTATCCTTTCTTTCCTCTTTAGTCTTCACAACTGAATTTTATATCATTCTGTTCTTCCTCATCTCCACATAGTCTCATGTAATTGTTTCTTCTCTCTCCTTCCGTACCATTTACACCACTTAAGCTGTTCTCTATTAGCTGTTTAATTTTGTTTTTCCTGGTCTATTCTCTACTACATTTAATTGCTTTCTGTTTGTTTTATTTTTTGAATGTTTAGATAACAAGTTTATTGCAGTAAAAGACTACCATTAATTCCCCTCGAAGTCCTCCCCTTTTTTTTAGCACCCTTATCCCTTCCTTCTTGCCACTTTCTGAAACTTAAAGTCCTCTTGCCTCAGTGGATTTAGTCGAGCTGTCGTGGCTACCTTGCCTTCCCGAATCAGCTCAAAAGGATTTGAGGCGGGGCCTTGCTGTGTGCTCCAGGCTGCTCTTGAATTCACTGTGTAGCCAAGACTGGCCTCGGACTTGGGGCTGTCCTCCTGCCTCCGCAAGTGCCGAGATTACAGGCGTGCGCCCCTGTGCCTGGCAAACTGCTTTTCTTTACATTTATGTTACATTTATTACGTTACATTTTAATGGTTCTGCTTTTCTACTGTGCACGTTAAATATTGACAGTGTTTACTTTTTTTAAAACGTGCAAAGAGCCGGCGTTATAATTTCGTTGTATTCTTGACTTTCCTCATTGAACAGTTCTAAGAGCATAAAATACCTTTCTTTTATCATTTCATCATTGTCTTTCTTTCCAGGGTGATGTTGCCAATGAAGTAGAGACTGAGCAGATCCTCTGCGATGCGTCTGTGCTGTCCTTTACCGCAGGAAGTTACTCTTCTTATGTGCAAGTTCGAGGCTCGGTCCCCCTGTACTGGTCCCAGGACATCTCCACCATGATGCCCAAACCCCCGATCACACGTGCGTCCGGCAGGCGGGCTTTTAACAGTAACTCCTGTGCTGATGTTTAGGGATCATGAACTATTATCGCAGAAGTCTAATAAATGCTTGGGTTCTAACGAGGCTTTATCCTGCAAGGTAGAGAGTTTGGAAGAATAACTTTGCCGGGTGTGGTGGTGCACCCCTATAATCCCAGCACTCAGGAGGCTGAGGCAGGAGGATCGATGCGAGTTCGAGACCAGCCTGGGCTACAAAGTGAGCTCAAGGCCAGCCTGAACTGCATAGTGAGACCCTGTCTCCAAAATGACCAAAAAAAAAAAAAAAAAAGAAGAATAACTTGTATTATTTTTATACAGTAAATTTATACTTTGTTTTGACAGTAAGTTGTATTTCTCTTCAAAAATGTAAGAAACATTCACATTTAATAAATACATGATGAGTGAGTGGTAGCCCCTTGAGAAGGATTTGGGAAGGTTAGCTAAATTTTACTCCTTGAAACATTAAAAATCCTACACTTCTTTTACTTTTGCCTTGTAATTTTCACTCAGGCGTTTCCCACCTTTCTCTTCCTCAGTGGACCAAGCAGATCCCTTCGCACACGTGGCTGCTCTGCACTTCGACCAGATGCTTCAGAGGTTTGGCTCCCCCATCATCATCTTGAATTTGGTGAAGGTACAGTGCTCCTCAGACCCCAGCCCGTTCCTCAGCGCAAGCGCCGCTCTGCCTCTCCTAGAGGAGAGACCTGAAATCATTGTGTGTGACAGCTTGCGGTGTCTGAGCATCTCAGCTACAGTGCTTTGGCTTCCGGTTCCACGTGACCTCTTCCTTGTGGATCTGGAGAAATCAGTAGTATGTTTTTGAGGGAAGGAAATGACTCAGGGTATCAAGCCCCAGAGACGTGTGTGGGTTAGCGGTGTAGGAAACTTCCGCTTTAGTTTCTAGGATGAATTGGAGAAGTTTCTCTTAAAGTAGCAAGAAAAGTCACCCACCTAGACGGGAGGTTTGAGGATAGTGGAGAAGGTGTAACATCTTAGGTAAAGTTGATTGGGAACCCCAAGGCCGTACCAAGAGCTGGTTTCAAATTGGTGACAGTGATTCCTTCAATGGAACCATTTTTCCATCTCTTGTGGCCTCCCCAACCCGTGCCCTCGGGCTTGTGCCTGGGTGTAAGCATGGAATCGTGCTGGTTTTGCCTGACAGGTATGATCTGAAAAGATGGGGTCAAAGGCGTTTTGGATATTGGCAAATATGAGAGAAGGGGCCATGAAAGCTGAGCTGGATGTAGAGGGGGTGTAAAGGAGAGGGCTGCGGAGAGAGTGGAGCCGTGGGCGGAGTTCAGGTTCTTGTGAGGCAGGGCACTTACAGCAAGAGCCACCCAAAAGTCAAAGAGATTCTGATGAGAAACGATGAAACGGATCAGTTCCCTGTGACCATGACGTGAGGGAGGGAGCAGGGACTTAACCAGTGTGACCCTCAGTTGTGATTGTCAGCTTCATCAGATTAAGAACTGCCTGGCCAATCTGTAAAGCCCTGGGAGTGTCTGGGTGAGCCATGGAGGTGTGGCTGTGGTACCATACGTGGTCCCTTGTTCACTTCTCTCTGACATTCTTCCTGCTCCTTATACCTGGCCTTCTGCCATGGTGGTTCTTCATTGGAGCCAGCCGGCCATGGACTGAAGCTTCTGAGTTGTGGGTGTTGGGTATTGCGCCCGGCGATAAGAAAGCTGACCAGTACAACCTGAGTGCAATAGAACCCAGAGCTACCGAAAGTCATGGGGCGGGGTCAAGGCTTGGCATGAGAAAGATGACATTCCCAGGAGCAGTGTGCAGTGTAACAGCTCATCGGCTCAGAGGAGCAGTGTGTGTAAGTGTGTGTGAGTGAGTGAGTGAGTGTGTGATTAAGAGGATGGAGGAGTATGGCCCACGAGTGACGGGTTAGGGGAGGAGTGAGACAGTAAGCCAGTCACTTCACCCGCTCATATAATTACATCCCATCAGGAGTTCTTTTTCATAAAATAAATCCTTCAGGCATTAAATACATCATTTCTAAGATACATTAATTCAAAGCTTCATGTTCACGTCTGTCCCTGTTAACTCAAAATAAGATAAGGTAATAGCGGGGTAGTCTGTAACCTTTGGTTCGTATTGAACAACAGCTAATTATGTACATAATTGAAGAATTAAAGTAGGAAAATTTTAATAATGAAAACTCCAGTGAACACTTTTCTAGTAAATGCATAGAAAGTAAGGTGCTATTAATATAGAAATAAAGTATTACTGAAGCAGCAAGTACAGAACATTACTAGAATATGATTTACAACTAAATTAGTGGATCTGGTTCTTGTCTTACAAAGTCCTTATAGTGTGGTTGAAAAGCTGTGGTTAAATGGAGGTTTAGGTCTGAAGTGCTTAAAATAGTTCACTGTTAATTTTACACATTCAAAAATAGTCACATACAAGTGACTGTAAACTACCCTGTTACCAAACCAGGCCTATTTTGCCCACCCCACAGTACGCCAGCCACTGAAACAAGTTTTGCGAGAGACGAGCTCACTTACGAGGTGCCCAGGTGCATAGAGACAGAGCGGCCTCCTGAACCTAGAGCTTGGGGTTCTGTACGCGCTAAAGAAGCCTGGTGGTCAAAGGCTGAGGAAGGGTGATTGGAGATAAGGAAAAGTGACGTAATCGGTGTCCTGTGCTTTGGGGAAGTCCTCATGAGGACCCTTGATCAGACGGGCAGCATTAGCGTGCTCTGGGTGGAGCTTGACACCAAAAGGGCTCTCATCAGACGCTTATGCGGGCGTCGGTGGTTTCAGCTGGCTTGAGATGGACAAGAGCAGCCTCCAAGTTCCTGAAAAACAGTCCAAGCAACTGTGATCATCTCCGCCTGTGCATCAGAAGAGTTGCCTGTCACAGAGCTAGAGGGAGTACATGGTGTAGCTGCACGACCTCTGATGTTAGTAATGAAGGTTAGTAACTCAAAAGCAGGCAAAGCTAGAGGGTTTATTCAAGTTTTCCCTCAGTACATTTATTTTTGAAAACTTTAAACCAGTCAGATTTTTAAATTATACTTGTTTATTGTTCCATTGTAAAAAAAAAAATCCTGACAAACTAGAGATTAACTAGAGAATGAGTTGGAGGTTAAGTTGTTGTTTGGTAGAATATGGGAAAAAGTTTTCTGTTGTTTTGTCATTAGTAATTTTGTTCCTAAGGTAAAAGGAGGTATTTATTTTGTTCCCTTGGAAGACCATATTGACTTGTGCTTAAGGGGTCAAAGCATGCATGTGTGTGTAGGGTGATACTGAGGCGTGTTAATTCTTCTTCCACCATAGTAGTTATGAAAGTGAACTACTTTCCTTGGTTTCTTTTCTCTCTTGCTCTGCTTTGTAAAGCTCTCCCTAGGTGTGGAAGGTTGAGGTGTGTTGGAAGGGATATGGCAGCAATCCCTGTGCCTTCAGCGTGGCCGTGGGTAGCAGTAGGCGGCCAGCCTGGGCTCATACCCAGCTGCACGTCAGAGGTGTTTAACCCGGGAGACCTGGGGGCCCTTTGACTTGTACAGATGAACTTTGCTCTTGGTTGTTAAAGGGTCCGTGGCTCTCCAAGGATGGACTAAACAATCCTTTAGCACTCGTCCCCGTGGAAAGTGCGTAAGACAGGTTTTTATGCAGAGCTGATTGAAGGTTGATTAAATAACCTTTTCTCTCCATCTCATAAAGTGGCGGATTTTATGTAAGTTTCAAAAAGTTTTTGTTTCTGTAGTTGACTTAAAGTGCTTTTGAGAAAAAATTCCAGATATGTAATTTGACTTTCTCGTACAAAGAATTAAGCAAAATATATTTTCATTCTAAACAGATTTAACAGTGCTCTGAATCCTTGTCTAATTTTCCTATTGGATTTATTCAGTTGTGTAGTATAGATGTCCTGTTTAGTTTCCACAGTGGTAATATAATTAAATTCATGGCAAGTGAAAAGTAATGTCCGCAAGTAAAACAGCCTGAGCTATTTAGATGCCAATGATAATACTGTAACACCTTTTCTGTGTACTGTTGCAGAAATGTTTTTCTCAAGAAAGATCTAATTAGGATAACAGTAAAACAGCTAATTTTTATTGAATATTTATCACATGCCGTATACTCTGATAAGAATTTACCATGCTTTGACTTACTTAACTTTCACAGCAGTGCATTGAGGGAGACACGTTTGTTGCCCCACCTTAGAGATGGCGGAATGGAGACCATGGGCGCTGGCAGCCTGGCCCACGGGTGACACTTAGCAGGCCCGCATTTCTTACAGAGCCATGGTTAAGCACCGCACCTTGGGCGGGAGGCGGTGTAACAGCCGGGGAGGGGCTGCAGGCAGGGAGTTAAATGATCAAGCTTAGGCCCAGGGACCCTGTCAGCCTCAGTACTTCTGCCACTGAACAGGAAGAAAGTGCCTGCTTCGCTGCCTCACAGGGTTTTCGTGAGTCACGTTCAGCAGGCTGTGGACATGCCTGCTTGCCAGCTACTTTGCACCTCGCTTCTCTCTCCCTGGCCCTGGTGGCTGTGGGAGTCCTGGCGTGGGGAGGGTCTCCTCTGCGGGAGTGGCTGTGGGAGCCGGGGCTGGGTCGGGCGAGCCGGGCTTTGGTCGGGCGAGCCGGGCTTCTGGGGACTGCGGGAGGTTGGCTGGGGGAAATCTGACATCCTTAGCTCTTAAAAGCACATTATCTGTTGACTCTAGTGAAAGATTTCTATTATTTTCATTTTAGTAGATCGGTTTCATTTCAGTATACATGAGGTTTGGGCTTTTTGGTCTCTAGCTCAGAAGTAAAAATTTTTAAACATTGTTATGCTGACACGCTTACATTTTTTTAACTTTTAAAATAATCTTGTTTCACAAAGGAGAGAGAGAAAAGGAAGCACGAGAGAATTCTGAGTGAAGAGCTCGTTGCTGCTGTGACCTACCTTAATCAGTTTCTGCCCCCCGAGCACACTATCGTCTACATTCCTTGGGATATGGCCAAGTACACCAAAAGGTGAGTGACACTCCGTGTCCGGTCTGAGTGTTCTTGTGGAAACCGCAGGAGCTGGTCTCCGTGGTAAAATGAAAGCTCCTCTTTCAGTTTCCTTCATGAGCCTGCCAGGGGCTCTTTTGAGTGCTTAAATGAAATGACCAGATTCTCTTCTTGCTCATTTTTATACTATTTGCGAAGCCTGTTAGAATATCCAGGCACTTGGGAACAGTGCTGCTGTGCCATTTTTAAAGGCTTTCGCCTCCTTTTTTCTGTTTCATTCCATCAGCCTGCCGCGCTAGTGCATGGACCCATAGTAACTCCTGCCTCTTCACACTAAGTCCAGGCTCCACAGTGTCGTGTTAAAGCCAGGTCAGCTGGTTGGGGCTAGAATGGAGTGATGTTTTATGTATTCCCAGGTCTTTTCTGTTTCAGAAAACCAAAGCTTTATGCTCCGCCCAAATGTAGCAGCTAAGGTCCTGTTCTTGAGCCTCGGTTTGTTGCTAATGCTGCTCGCCCACCTTGTCAGCATGTGATTCAAACTCATCTCTTCTAAGGAGCTGTCTAACTCTTTCACGCCTTTACTGTGCATCATATAAGCACAAGGTCTATTTTGAAATTTTTTAACGTTACAGTATTATTTTATGCTCCACTCAATGTACTTTTTTCTAAAGCATTTTGTGTAGACACACACACACACATTTTCCTAAATTTAAGTTGATTCTAGTTGTTCCAATTAATTTGTGCTCCAGTTTTTTCTTCCCCTGGCATTTATGCTGTGTGGTGCTCTAGACCCAGTCATGTTATAAAAGCATATTGACTTGATCGACAGCTCCTGAGCAGTGAAATGCTTTGGGAAAAGCTCTTGCAGGGGTGGCCTGTTCCAAAATTAGGGAGTGCCAATATTTGATAGTAAGTTACAAGTCCTTCCGGTCTCTGTTGCATCTAATGTTGTTAGTTATTGAGTACACGTTATGTTCCTGATGTTAATTATTACAATGTTCCTGTTAAGTACAAGCCAGGACATTTTTTAAAAAATATGTGAATATCATTGCTGTGGAGTATATTTGTTGTAAATGTGAAAGTAAATGTATATTAGAACTCGGGTTCTTCTCACTTGTGCATTCTTCCTTCTTTCTCCAGCAAGCTGTGCAATGTTCTCGATCGCCTCAGTGTGATTGCAGAAAGTGTGGTGAAGAAAACGGGTTTCTTTGTCAACCGCCCTGATTCTTACTGTAGCATTTTAAGGCCAGATGAAAAGTACGTATGGATTTAAAACTTTAAATAAATTGAGATTTCGTTCTTAGGGACAACAATATTCTCCCTGTGAACAGTCTGTACTAGGTGTTAGACGGACGAATTGAGTCCTTTAAGGAGGTGCGCAGCCCTTGGCCTGTGTAAAAATAAACGTTCCCTGTAAGCCTGAGATTCCTCTCGTGGTTATACGCACTGAGATGGAAGCTGTAGGGGCTGAGCTCTTGCTTTGTGGAATTAAACATTGCATAACATGTATCTGTAAGATAAAATTTTCTTCAGTGAATTCTGTTGTTCCATTATTAGTAGAATCAGGGAAATTTTTTCTGCTGGATTAAACACTAATATTTTTATGAAAACAGCATCCATCATTGTTTATAATTACTTGCTTACAAACCTTACTGGTTTGTGAGCTTCTTCAGATCTAGGATCCATGCCTTACTTACCTTTTAAGGGATCAAAATTTAAAAAGCCCAGCCTTTTATTTTCAATTAGCATAGTTAACTACAATGAGAAAACAACAAAAACCAAAACGCTATCAGCGTATATCTTTGGAGGAATTATTTTCTTATAGTTTGCATTGCTGTAGTTTGAAGGGTAGCCGGCTGTGGCAGGCCCCCGTGACTATCCCTAGGTTCCTAGGTTCGGTGTTTTTACAGCGCAGAGCACTCAGCTTCTTGTTGTACTCTGGATGTCACCTCTTATGTGGAAAAGATATGAAGGGAAATTAGCAAAGGGAGAAGACAGGAGGGACAGATTCTAGAGGAAACTAGGCGTGAGTTTCCAGTCTTCTTCCAGTGGAGACGCATGGAGCACAGTTCCCGCAAAGCACGTGGTGATGGCATCTGTGACGGTATCCGCAGGGCTGCCAGCCAGGGAAGCTGATGAGTAGGAGCTTGGTCTTCAAGGCAGCTTCTGCCGGGCATGTGCCAAAATTCCAGATGCCCTGAGGAAAGCAGATACTCGGTAAAAGCTGTGTTGTTTCTACAAACAGTTAAGACATTCTTAGCCACTTACCAGTTCTGGGAATGGCGGAACCATCCCCAGTCCAAGTCCCAGGTGCTGGCCACGAGCCAACCTTGTACACAGGCCTTTCTTAGGGAAGCTAATGCCTGCCTGGCACCGTCTTTTAAATAACTTAAGTAAAATGTTATAACACATTCCCATCCATTTATTACCACATGGGAGAAGTAGGTAGCTACTAAAGGGAACGGTGCAAAGACAAGCATAGCACGTAACAAAGTCTTCGTGAGGGAATGCTGGAGGGGGTAGACAATCCTGGTATCCAGTGGAGAAGGCGAAGGCATGAGAGGTTTTATTAGAAGAGTGCCCTGCGTTATGCGTGTCGCTGGAAACCTGACAAGAAATGGGCTTGAGTGGAAGCCAGGCGGACTTTGGTTGAACCTGAGTGACGAAGTGCCCGGGTTGTAGGCACTGGGACTGCTCGGATGCTGCGTTCCTGGGCTGTCTTGAGAAGATCGTGGTGAGCAGCCTGCCTCAGTTACTTGCCTGTTCACTCAGCTGGAAGAAGGAGTGTGTGTAGAATCAGTTGGCTGCCCGGGTGCCGTCAGATCTGTTATTTTGATTCAGTGATTCGTACCAAAAAGCTAGTACCAAAAAGAAATATGCATTGTGCCGTTAAACTTTAAAAAATCAGCAGACTGGGCTCAGTTGTAGAACACATGGTGTGCTCAAGCAACCTGAGTTCAGTCTCTAGCTCTGGGGGGGGAAAAATCTTTTAAAATATTTATTTTTAAACACAGGTGGAATGAACTAGGAGGATGTGTGATACCCACGGGTCGCCTGCAGGTACAGCTGAAAATATATTCATAATGAATAGAATTTGTATCCACAAAGTGTGTTTTCTGTAAGCAACCATGGAGAGATCTTATTTAATAAAGAATTAATTATTAATCACTTGAGAGTGATTTTTAAAAGCCTTTTGGTAGTATTTAAATCTTATGGAAAGATGTGTAGCTGAAATAATACGACTTACGAATTTTTCTGTGTATTAAGTTTCATTATTGGAAATAGAAACGTAAATAAGAATGTGAAAAAAATAAATCAAAGCAACTTTGGAAAATAAGCCAATGTATACTGTATCTGTTAATAATCCCTTAAGAATGATATGACTTTAACCACTGACTATTTAGTTTGTACAGTAAAGGAAATATATCAGAAAAGTCCGTATAGTACTTTACTAATTGGTAAATGTTTCCCATTTTACCTTGGTAAACTTTCAAAGAAGTAAAGTCATAAATATATATGTACATGTATATCTACATGTATATGTATGTACGTTAGTTTTATCGATGCTACTACGGCAATAAGTAAACAGCAAATATGGCCTTATATAATTTTTAAATGTTCTTTGTTATTTTGATCTTTCACTTTATTTGCTCAGAAATGATATTTGCCAGAAGGCTTTGTTCCTTTGCCAGAAGTTCCTTTAATAAAAGCATTATCGTGTCGTATGGAAATAATGTTGGTGACTGAACAGTGGTTGAAAATCTTGAGTTACTTCTCTTTAGACTGGCATTCTTCGAACCAACTGTGTGGACTGTTTAGATCGCACCAATACAGCGCAGTTTATGGTGGGAAAATGTGCTCTGGCTTATCAGCTGTATTCCCTGGGATTGATTGATAAACCTAATCTACAGTTTGATACAGATGCAGTTAGGTAAGCCTTATTTTTGGCCATTTGAATGCTAGGAATGACAGAAAGCAAACCTGATTAATTTTAAGAACTTTATGAACTTGACCGTACTTTATCTTCTCAAAGACTGTGTTGTCAGAAGATAGTATTCAAATGAATTCTGTAACAAATATTTCTGTTAAAGATTTGTATCCCATTACCATGGTTTTGCTTTTAGTTTTTTTGTTTGTTTGTTTTAATTATCAGTAACTGTTTTCTAGATAAATACGAAGTCCTTAGATAAACTGGTGAGTTAAAAAAAATCCAGATGCCAGTAAACAAAAACTGTGGCTCTGTGCATTTTGAGCTCAAGCTATGAGATGTAAAGATGTATAAAAGACTAATTCTTCAGGAATGATGGCTGTTTAGTCACTGCCCGTTGGCTCTGTGGCACTACTGCTTTTTGAAAATAAAATGACAGTTCTTAATGGTTTTCTGAGATTTGCATGAGGGATCAGCTGAGGAACTGAAACGGCCTACGTGACCAGATCTACAGATAGCGCCACCCTGAAAGTACTCATGGGCACTCCAAGAAACACTGATTTCACATACGTACATATTTCCATGAAAGGATGTATTTTACCTGCCTACTATGGCCAGATGGTTTGTGTCTCCCTCAAATTCATAGGCTGAATGTTTGAGCCCCGCCTGGGTAACTTGGCAACGTAGCAAGGCCGCGTCTCAAAATAAAAACAGTTGTTTAGAAAGGGCTGGAGATACAGGTCAGTGCCAGGGACGTGGGTTCGAGCCTCAGTACCCCACACACAAAGAAACTGAAATCCCCACCCACAGTGATGGCGTTAGGAGGAGAGTCCTTCGGGAGGTGACGGACCTGAGGGTGGGACCCTCATCCCTGGGATTTCTGCGTTTTTAAAGAGAGGCCACAGGGAGCCAGCTGGCCCTTCCGTTGTGTGAGGATATGACCAGAAGCCCCCCTCTGTGCACTGGAATGGGGCCCTCACCACACACTGAATCTGCTGATGCTTTTATTTTATACTTTCCAGCCTCCATTTTTTAAAGAAATGTTTGATGTTTAAAAGCCACCTAGTTTATCATGTTTTGTTATATAAGCCTGAATAGAGTAGTGCACCATCTGCAGCAGGAGCATGCCTTTTTCCCAAGGCAGTTCATAGGGAGCAGAATTCTGTCGTGTGAGATGAACTGACCTGGCAGTGTTAGGAGTCTTCTAATATGGTTGGAAACAGTTTAGTCTGGGTTTGATGGGTTATATTTTTGGTGCCCTTGCTTTCTTTCATGTTTTCTGAGATCTATTGGCATATTATTATGAAATATAATACATTTTTTCAAGTACAGTGCTGTATGTCTGGTCTCAGCTACCAAGGAATCTGAAGCAGGAAGATAGCAAGTTCAAGCCCAGCCTGGGCAACTTAGTGAAACCCTGCCTCAAAATAAAAAATAAAAAGGGCTGGGAATATAGTTCAGTAGAAGACTGAGTTCCATACCCCACAGCACCAAAACTACCCCCCAGATACATTTGGATGGATGGCTTGATAGGATTGATTGATTGATTATTTTTCACTCGAATTTATGTTCAAAGTATTGAAGAATCTACTTGAAAGATAAAGCTCAGGTTTGTTCTGAGTCTATGGCCAAGTGAATAACGTGTGAGTGAATTTTAGTAAAATTCTTTAATGTGAGTGTTCTTCTGCTTAGGTTGTTTGAGGAGCTCTATGAAGATCATGGCGATACCCTGTCCCTTCAGTACGGTGGTTCTCAACTTGTTCATCGGGTAAAGACCTATAGAAAGATAGCCCCGTGGACCCAGCACTCAAAGGACATCATGCAGACTCTGTCCAGATACTACAGCAATGCCTTTTCAGGTAATTCTGGAATAATAGACATTTCTGAATCTAACCCGCTGTGTACTTTTCTTCTTATTCATATACTTTTTAAAGCTATTGATTAAAGTGAAATATTTTAAAAATGTATATAAAACTGACACATAGAAAGCAGTCAATAAGTATTTGTTCAAAAGATGAATGAATAAAAAATTTATATTTTAAGTAAGGCATGTTAACAGCTATAATCCTAGCACTTGGGAGGCTGAGGCAGGAGGACTGCTGTGA